CTGGAAGTGTACAAAATTCGGGGAAAGTCCTAGCGTGGATAGGAGACTTTCTACATAACCGCAAACAGTGTGTAGTGATTAATGGCACGAAATCATCATCTGTACCTGTCACAAGTGGGGTACCATAGGGCAGTGTATTGGGCCCGCTGTTGTTTGTTTGTTTCCTAAATGACTTGCCTGACATTGTACACTCCTCCATACAAATGTTTGCCGATGACGCCAAGTTATTTCGGGAAATCAAGAACCATGCGGACTGTGAAGAGCTGCAGAAGGATCTCTGTGAGATCCAAGAATAGTTGAAGAAATGGCTGCTGAGATTCAATGTCACGAAGTGTAAGAGGATGTACCTGGGGCGTACCAACGGTAAGGAGGTGTATCATATGCCCCAACGGGATGAAGAAACTGCACTTCAGTGGTCCCTCGGTTAACGAACACAATTCATTCCAGAAGGTCGTTCGTTAACCAAAACCATTGTTTCAATGGGATTTTGGGCATTTGGTTCCAGCTCACCAAAAATTACATACAAAGTAAAAATAAATGCAGTAAAGTACACTTACAGTACTTTGAGGTGTGTATGTAGAAGGCTCCTGGTTGATGATGATGATGATGGGAATTAGAAGTGGGGGTGGAGGAAAAGGGAGAAGAGAAGGAAGTGGGGGTGGAAGAGAAATCACCCCATGCTTCATGCCGTCATTTCACCCATAAAATTTTAAGTTCACTAGGTGTAATTCAAGATTATTTTCTTTAAATCAACACTGCACTGCACTATATATTGTCAATATGTAAAATAAATTTCAGAATGACCAATAATTGTACTGTAAAAATGTAAAAATAGTTTATGTTCAAGAGACCCACAAGCAAGATGTTATCTCCACTGACCAGAGATACATACTGATGCCTTGCTGGGTGAGTCAAGTGGCTGATTGGCGCACCTAAAACTAGTTTCCTGTACTGCAATTATGTTAAATAAGTGTTAAAATGACTAAAAATTTTAAAATAAAACTTGGAAAATTATTGAATAGTACAACCTTCTTGATATTTACTCAAATGGGAACGAATTTAAGCCCTAGAACCAATTACTGTATTGGCGGACTAATATTCCAGCTGGTGAGCAAGAGAAAACATGTTGACATGATTTCGTAAAAATTTCGTTAACCGAATTTTTTTCGTTAACCAAGTTGAAGATTCTTATGGAAGGTAATTCGTTAACCGAAATTTCGTTAACCGAGGGATCACTGTATTTGAGACTGAATGTGAGAAGGACCTAGGTGTGTATGCTGACAATGAGCTGAAGTTCTCGGGCCATTGTGAGAAGAAGGTAAATCAGGCAAATAAATTATTGGGTCTTAGAAGGAGGTTGTTCAGATATTTAGACGGTCCATCCCTCATAACGATCTTCAAGAGTGAATTGCTTCCCCATTTGGAGTACTGTCACCCCATCTGGTCCCTGAGATATGCTAGGGACTGTCAGTTGGTTGAAAATGTTCAAAGGAGGGCCACCAGACTGGTGCCTGCCCTTCGGCACCTCAGCTACCCTGAGAGATTAGAGCGCCTGAACTTGCCTAACTTATACTACAGACGGGCAAGGGGGGACCTAATTGAGGTGTATAAGCATCTCAAGGGACACTACTCAGTTGAGTGTCCTTACTTGGAGCTGGCGGATGCTCGCCACACAAGGGGTCACAGCTCAAGATTGAAGAAGCCATAAGTCCAGAAAACTGTGAGGGCAAACTTTTTCAGAGTGAGAGTTGTGAACTCTTGGAACAATCTGACAGAAAGTGTTGTGACGGCACCGAGTGTGAGTTCTTTCAAGACAGGACTTGACCAACACTGGAGTGGGTTCAGGTACATTCAGGAGCCAGTGCATGCCCAGTATTTGCCAACAGTGCGTGACAGAGACGTGACCGATCACCCGGGCGGCTAGCGAGCCGATCTTTTGGTGAAGAAGATAAATGGAAAGGAAAAGTAATCAGAGACGTGACCGATCGCCCAAGCGGCTGACAAGCCGATCAGTGGAGAAGAGGATAAAAGTAAAAAGTGAGCTCTTTCAAGACCAGACTTGACCAACACTGGAGCAGGTTCAGGTACATTCAGGAGTCAGTGCATGCCCAGTACTTGCCAACAGTGCGTAACAAGAGACGTGACCGATCGCCCAAGCGGCTAACAAGCCAATCAGTGGTGAAGAGGATAAAAGTAAAAGTATGTATCATGCTAAAATTCTCAGTGAAGATCGTAAGGCATTTGATGGCTGGTGGATGATTGTATCCCTAAGTATTGAAGATACAATTGGATAACTCTCTTAGCTTTAGTGTTTTTAATGCTTAAATTGAAGGGGCACAGTAAGCAAAAGTGCCAACTGGTATGCTAATTAAAAATTGGGTTAACACTATTGTTAGTAATTAAGTATATTAAGCCCCTGCCACATCATGGTAATGTGTGTTAATAGCTGTCATGATATTACATACTGTGTCAGGAATGGATCCTGACCGACACTTCAGTGGTAATTTTTCCCGAAAACATATATTAGCTGGTTGCGGTGACATAATAGTATCCGTAACTATTTACAATCAACCATTTCCACCCAACAAACGGATGAATCAAGCCTAAAGAACATTATTGTACACACATTTTTTCCTAAAGAATAAGTGTGCATCAGTTATATTTAAGGTCTACATCTGGCCCTGTTTGATACTCATTAATCTTAAACTTATGGGGGAAAAAACATGGCTTCATTCTGGGGCTACGAAGTCCTTGACACCATTGGTAATTAATTTTGGGTCTTGGTCTGCTGCTGATTATAATAGTCACAAGTAACTGCAGATACAATACAGGATGTGCACCTCTGGCAGCAGAATTGTGAATGATAATATTTACTTTTAATTTTTTTTACTGTTATCTTTATTGCCACTGATCAGCTCATTAGCTGCTTGGGCAGTTGGTCACGTCTTTGTTACACACTATTGGCAAGTACGGGGCATGTACTAGCTCCACAATGTACAGGTATATGTATTTGCATCAGTGTTGGTCAAGTCTGGTCTTGGATGAGCTCACACTTGGTGCCATCACAACACTCTCTGGCAAATTGTTCCAAGAGTTCACATTCTCACTCCAAAAAAGTTTGCCCCCCAAAATTTTTTGAACTTGTGGCTGCTTAAACCTTTAGCTGTTACCCCTAGTGTGGGCGGGCATCTGCCAGCTCCAGGTATGAACAATTGACCGAGTAATTCCCTCTGAGATGTTTATAAACTTCAATTAAATCACCCGTTGCCTACCTATAATATAAGCTCGACAGTTGCAGGCATTCTAATCTCTCTGAGTAACTGAGGTGCCGTAGCACAGGCACCAGTCTGGTGGCCCTCCTTTGGATATCTTAAAGCAACTGATAGTCTCTCAGGGACCAGACGGCTTGACAGTCCTCTAAGAGGGGAAGCGCTTCACTCTTGAAGAGGATTGAAGTCGTGTTCACCAGACTGCAATTCCTCTCTGATATGCATGGCTTGTATAATCTTAGGTTTCAGCTTCTCAAAGATTCAAACGTTGAATAGCCCTTGGAACTGTAGATGTAAGAATGTACCTGACTGACTGACTTACGATGTGTGCAGGTGACAAGATTAATGTATAGAATCTTTAGAATATTCTATACACTACTCTTATTGCCTTAACTTGTGCTGTGTGACTGTATCTAGTTTAGTTTGAAATTTAAGAGTAATTTTGTTGTTATTTTGTAAAGATGCATGAATTAACCACTCGGGTGCATTTTTACATCCTCAGTTACAAGGGGCCTTAACTTGTGCTGTGTGACTGTATCTAGTTTAGTTTGAAATTTAAGAGTAATTTTGTTGTTATTTTGTAAAGATGCATGAATTAACCACTCGGGTGCATTTTTACATCCTCAGTTACAAGGGGTATTCATTATATATACCTTCGAGAACCTGGATCTAAGTCAGCCAATGATCACATGATACTTGTACCAGTTGCAGGCCCTTAGTCTATGTTTCTCATGGCTGGCAATCACAGATTTTTGACTGTACAGTAATTAATAATTTTTGTTTTCAAATAATGTATAGTGGTACTTAAAATTCATATTTAAAAAAAAATCAGAGCTCCTTCATTTCAGCTGGCATGCATGTTGTACTTTGAGATTTGAGAAAATTTTTATTTTATTGAATAGTAAAATATTCAGACAAAACTCATGTTAATCCTGTGTACAGTTAGCTACAAACCTATCTTTCCATTTTGTCTGATGATTTCTTAAAGTTGGCAAAATGTACGGTAATCAAAGATTTACCTCGACTACATATGGAGCCCCTCTGTATGTGGAACATGATGTGGTAAATGATATGTTTTACAGTTGTGATAAATGGACAGCAGGAATACTCTGGAAAATCAGGATCAGTCCTCTCTAGACCTGCCAACTGTTCAAAAGTTTCCCAGAGAATGTGCTAGAAGGCTCAAGTATACTGTGATAGATTCATCCAAAATTGGGACGATAGAGTTGTCATTCACTGTACAAAATCATTATTTTAGTGTATGTAGAATTATAAGAACGAGATAAAAATTATTTCATTTCCTATAACATGCATTTACACTAAGAGGCATTTTTTTAAAATTTATTTATACCTGTACTGTAATTTTTAGTCTGATATGTGTCCAAATCCAAGATATTTCAAAATAGAATTCTATAAAATCTGAGAGGAAAAGCTGTGATCACTAGATCATGGATGAAGTGTCCAATCATCATTTCTGAAACATCCACCGATTGCTGTGATTAAAAGAGAGATTGGCCAAAATGACCATACCTTAGTGAATGGTCATGCTGGCCTTGATGTCCTGCCACAGAGTACACTTCTGCCGTATGAGAAATAAGTTAGGTAAATAGTTTTCCATGACAGAGCAAACGGTAGCACTGTACTGTCCTCATGACTGTGATATGGCAGTGTTTACTGTAGTCTAATAGTTTGTGGTTTCTGATAAATGATTTCATATTTACTTTCTTGCAGAATCTTAGTGAGGATCTTCTTGAACTGTTAGGGGATACAACTCTACGAAATCTTCTCATAGTTCAGAATAAGTATACAGAACATGGACGAGCTCTTTGCTATAAAGTTTGGAAAAAGTGCCGGAAACAAAATCCTAAGCTTAGAGTTCATCTTTGCACAGAAGGAAATACAAAAACGGAAATAATTTGGCAACAGTGTGCTCCAGTCAAGAGTATTGTTTATGATTCACCCAACACAAGAGTAAGTAGCTCGTGTATAAACTTAATATTTGTATAAAATTGTAGCCAAGATGTAATTTGTTCAGTATGTTACTTGCTTATTGGACAGTCAGTAAAATTTTATAAGGCTTTGGTGTGAGTGTTGCTGAAACCTGTAAAACAGCTAATACATAAGGCAGTGATTATTATTGTTTTTATTTTCTACAGCTTTGTACTTTACAGTGGGTCCTTGCTTACATTGTACTGGTATACATCATTTCACGATAACAAGTATAAGAAGAAATTTTTCATTATACATCAGTTGTTTCTCATATACATCGTCTGCATTATCCACTATTTTATACTAAGTCCGTGTGTACCTGAATATGACACATATATAGTGATAGTCGAGTGTTCATACCTGGAGCTAATGGATGCCTTCCCCGCTAGGGATCACAGCTCAAGGCTGAAGTAACCAAAGTTAGGAACATTTTCAGGGCCAACTTTTTCGGAATAAGAACTATAAACTTTTATAGCAATCTCCCGGAGAGTATTGTGACAGCACCGAGTGAGAGCTCATTCAAGCAGAGACTTGACCAACCCTGATGCAGGTGCAGATACATTCTGGATCCAGTACAGTAACCCCTCGTTTAACGAACGCCTCGGTTAACGAAATTTCGGTTAACGAACTGCCTTCCATAAGGATCTTCAATTTGGTTAACGAACAAAAATTCGGTTAACGAATTTCTTATGAACCGACCTCAACATGTTTTCGCTTGCACTGACCGGGCAACCAGCTTTAGTATCAGTCTGCCAATACATTAATCGGTTCTAGGGCTTAAATTCCTTACTATTTTAGTAAATATCAAGAAATTTATACTATTCAATAATTTTAAAAGTATAATATTCAATTTTTTAGTCATTTTAACAATTATTGAACATAATTGAAGGTAAAGTGACTAGTTTAATGCGCGGCATCCAGCCTCTTAACACAGCAAACAGGCGTTAGTCTCTCTCTGTTTTCACTGGAGGTAACATCTTGCTTGAGACTCTCTTCAACTAAACGCTTTTTTTCTGTGTTTCCAAGCAAATTATTGGTCATTTTGAAATATATTTTACATATTGACAATATATAATGCAGTGCAGTGTTGATTTAAAGAAAATAATCTTGAATTACACCAAGAGAGCTAAAATTTTATGGGTGAAATGGCACCATGGGGTGACTTCTCTTCCACCCCAATGCCTTCTCTTCTCCCTTCTCCTCCACCACCATTCTAATTCCCATCATCATCATCATCATTATCCAGGAGCCTTTTACATACACACCTCAAAGTAAGTGAACTTTTCTACCATTTTTGTTGAATTTAGGAAATTTTCGGTGAGCTGGAACCAATTACCCAAAAACCCATTGAAACAATGGTTTCGGTTAACGAACTTTTCGGTTAACGAACGACCTTCTGGAACGGATTGAGTTCGTTAAACGAGGGGTCACTGTACTTGCCAACAGTGCTTAACAGAGCTCTCTCTAGGATCACATTTTGAGCTTTCAAGGTGTTTTACTCTACAAAACATATTGGAATGCATATACAACTGTACCCCATTTATTAATTCTTATGGAGAAAAATTTTTCCTTATAAAACATTTCACTGTCACTTTGCTTTTTTCTAGAACACATCCCTGACATATAAGAGGACCCCAGTACTACTTTTGGGGGTTTTATGATGTTTGTCAATAATTCATTAGCTATGTACTGTATACTGTATAATGTGCTTTGGTTGCAAGATTGTGAATTTTCTATTTTATTGTCACTCGTTTGATTAATTGAAATTCATTTACCGCCTTCTGAATGATATTGATGGTAAGTTAATAAGTACAGTATTGTATGGAGTTGGTTATTAAAGAAGGTTGAGGAGGTCATTATAGGCATCCCATTGTAAAAGGTTTTGTGGTTGTAGGCATGACAACAAACAGCCAGGCTAACAGATTACAATTGTTGGTTTTGTGTCATTAGAGAAGTTTGTCATTATAATTGTTGTCTTACAGGTTACCACACCACTGATGATTGCAATCATTACATTGTACAAGCATGACCTGGAGGTTTTTGCCAGCACACAATTACCCAGGTTCTACATGCCAAGATCCTTTCATGATAGAATTGACTCAGCTCTACTATTATTGGTCAGACAATGCCCATACATACATACATTGGTAAGTGGAATATTTGCTTAGTTTAACTGGTTATGTAAAAGACTATAAGTATGCTGTCCTCTGCCTTTGTTGCCCAAGTTGTTGTTAACACCAGCAATACATACTGTACCTCTTATCTTCATCATCATTGTTTTACAGCCATATTAAATATGGTAGTCAATATTAGACAAGGCTTAGGACATCAACGCCATATGCATTGGCAACACGACTAATTTACTGATCATTTGAACTCAGAACTTAAATCTGAGTTTTACTTCGTTTTACATAAATTTACATGTGTTATGACATTTGACATGGCTGTACCTTTACCCATTTACTCTATTATACATGACTGTCTTTATTAATGCTGCTTATCTTAGCTAAGCATACCCCAAGCTGACATTTAAGAGTGAATATCAGTGAATTGGAGATATAGGCAATGACCATTATACGATGGTGTTAGGAACCTCAAAACCATTGCGAAGTAATCGATCATATTTCAATATTAATAACTTATGGGGGAAAATAGGTTCTGTTTCTGAACCCCTGAAGGGCTCAAATAAGTTTTATATCCTGCTGCTATAATGATTAAATAATGTCTAAATAGCTCATATAATTTATAAAGACAAAATCAATAAATTTATACAAAATAAAGATTTATACTGTAGTAAGTTACGATCCCTCAGCTGTCACTACAAGTAATTTCTGGTAGACATACGTAATGGTCTTAATTTTTTTTATTAATTTGTCATGTGCACACAATCTTTCATACAGAATGTGCAAAAATAAAATAATAACTCAACTAAAAAACATAAAAGGAATAAACATTTCTTACATGTGCTGGACTCATCACAGAGTGGGGTCCACATACAGGTGGGTAGTTAATTAGTTGATTTATGTATTTATTTATTTATTTAATTTTTACATGGCACACAATCTTTCAAACTTTTATCCCCTTCATATTCAGTAATAAACAACAATGAATCGTATGTACATATTCTTAATAAGATAAATGACGCTGTTTCCTTAAATGTGCACGTATATGTTGGCATTCCCAATCCATCTCGCTCTATTTCTTTGCTATTAATTTTACTACTACTACAAATAGAGTCTTATTTTCTTCTTTTTCGTATGAAGAACCATCGTCCTGGACTCCCAGCTGTAAACACTAACGAAAACAATGGCGTCCCATCTCCTCTTGTGTGACCATATTATTATTGATTTATACAGTACTGTGTTGTACAAGGTGCATTCATAAACATTATTTAAAGAATATGGTTAGCATTTTTCATTAATTTTATTGTTTTGGAGGAAAATACGGTAAAAAGCCACACAAAAGATATGAAGAGGTCACACTTGGGAATACACCTCATTATTATTGCTTTATTTTAATGGTAATTAATGACTCACGATACGATGATTCACATTACTGTCGTTATTCAAGGCTTTACTGTATCCTGAGCACCGGGGTTAATTATACAGAATTTTTCCTGTGAAAAAGCCATAATTTTAAGCAACATATTACTGTACAGTATAGTCTGGATGTACGTGGTTTTGGTTCACGCGTTTGGTCATTTACACGGTGCCTTGCCAGAATGTAAATGCTTTAATAACGCGGTAAATTTGGTCATTTATGCGGAGAGCGGCTGGAGGTCCAGACGCTCCACGCCATTTTTTATTCAAGCGGTCCATTCTCGACCATACGTGGGAAGCGGCGCAGTGAGTGGTGCGCATTAGGCCGCTCTTACGTTATCGCTGACGTCATATGACGTATCGGACTGTGATTGGGCCACGCATCCTTACCACCCACGCATTCCCTCCGCACCTAGCTGTGATTGGTTTAATGTAACATGACGTGCCCTGCCACCAGAAGTCGCTGACCTAGCCGGGCCTGTCTCATTGTTCTCAGTCCGCGTATACAGTTCCCTCTTGTGCCCGCTATTCCCCTCACAATGGCTTCCGCTCGACCCCCACCACCCGAGAAAAACCTTAAATTACCTGGACCAAGCCATGGTTATGTGAAGGAAATCATCGAGTTGGGGGAGAAAATCAAGCTCTTCCTTGACAAAGACCCAGTTAATTATTGGTATGAAGTGTCTAATGACCCAATGAATTTCAAAATGAACACTTTGACACCTGTTGCCATATTGTGTAACAAAATCGTAAAGATTCTATTTAGAGCGAGTGTACTCGAGACAACTACTGAATTTAGATCAAATCTGGACTCACCTGGGTTATTGGCAGCTGATTGCACAACTTGGAATAAAATACTGTCTGTGTAGCTCATACCTTCCTGACTACAATCTCTGCCTGGAGGTGCTGGGAGCATTATATTTAGCTGGTCACTTGTTTCAATCTTTCAGCTATAGAATAAGTTATTATTTTTCAATCTTCCTCATAATGTTGATGTTATCCTGACATCTGTTATACTGTATAACTAGTACATTATGACATTATCTTGTGTGTGTACTAATGATATTCTATTTGCCTATATACGTATTGTATAGGCTGTTCGTGAAAAGGTGTCAACAGCAACTGTCCTCCTGTTAACTTATTCTGCAAAGAATCTTCATTTCTTCTACATTCGCAGAAATGCTATTCTACTCAAGGTCAGTCATTTCGTTAATCCTGAAGTTATTTTTCACTTGCATATAATACGGTAGTCCTCTCCCAGAGGCTTTACAATCACTCTTCTCAACTATCTTTAATTTCAAAATATCCCAGCAAACCAACAACACATATGCAACCAAATAACATTGTAGTTTCAACTGTAAACAGCCAAAGAGTTGTAGAGGTGTTTTTACCGAGCCCAATTGCCTGTAATTCTCTTAGTCTACAATCTCTTTAGAGCTGGCACTGGTGTGGAGGAAAAAGAACAAAAGGTATCCAGGTTTATTTGTCTAAGTTTACAAACAGAATGCTAAAGTAATATTGGTAGGGTGTCAACAAGGTGGAGTAGTGTATTGAGGAGTCCTGGGAAAAGAAGCTGTAGGTCAGTGTATGCAGTGGAGGATTTGTGTTTTCCTTGCTTACACTGCCCTCTTATAGTTTAGCATGAAGTAGAGTGATACTGCAAATGTGCTTTTGACCAAGTAGGTCAGTTGAAGAACAAGTTTTGCAATAGCTAGCTAGTATGCAGCTTCACTATATATCAGCTCTCAGATCCTTTTTGGGTTAGGGTTGTTCTATTGTCATTCCTCTTTGGCCTTGTAATAAAATGGGTTTTCAGGATTAAACAATAATTTATGATACAGAGATTTAGCACTTGCCATAACTAAAATACCATGATTTTAAAATTTTCAGGCAGATTGGCCCATGAATCCAGATTGGACACCAGAGTTTTATACATGGCTGTGCAAGAGTGCACAATCTTATGAGGCAATGGAACAAGAAGTTTCACAGATTTTAGGATACAGATGGCAGGCTCTCACTGACAAGCAATATAAGAATTTGAAGATTGATCTTGAAAAGCCTACTTATATGTATTCATGAGAAGCTGAAATATCAGTTATAATATGTACAGGTCCTGTACTAATTATTTGTTTTTGAGAAAGTGCAGAACAGTACTGTATGGAATTACCTATGCAAGGTATCTTTGTTCATTTAACTCATTTTATACCCAATATTAATCTTAACACATTCTTAAGATATCCAGCAATTGTATACAGGGGGTCCCCGGGTTATGAACGGGTTCCATTCCTAAAGACATTCTTAAGTCAGACTTAAGTCTGTACATAAGTCAGAACACATACTATGTGCATACCGTTCTTACAGAACAAAGTTTAAAATCCCACTACAGTGGGGTATGCTATAACGAATCTAATTGGTTCTAGAACCTTGTTCGTTATAGCATTCGTTTGTTATAGGATTAATCCGTTCCAGGCCCCCAAATACAACCACTTAACACTGAAAAATATAATATAAAATTGTAAAAATTGTAAAAAAGTGCATAAATATGCATCTAAACCCCTGAAATAAAGAATATCATTAATATTTGTAATAATAAAACAATAAATTAGAAAAAAAAAATAAATAAATAAATTATGTTCGTTGTAGGAGTTTCGTTCGTTATAGCATTCTCAATTTTATAGGTAAAACCGTTCATTATAGGAATATTCGTAGTAGGATCCGTTCGTTATAGCATACCCCACTGTATATCATAGTGTAAGTCCTTATATACATCTAAAATCATTTAATTTAAGACAAAAGAAGAAATTGAATGACAAAATACATTACCTGTAAATGAAAGTAAATATAAGTCATCAGGTAAATAAAATACCTGTACTGTAAATTTCAAGTTTAACACTGTTCGTATCGGCGGGCGTTCGTAAGTCAGGGACCCCCTATATAGAAAATATGATGGTCCCTTTATCAGCACCTCGTGCATGTAATGTATGTTTAGAGTTTCTCCGCACCTGAGGAATTACATATAAATACCCGTAATTGTTGTCAGACCTCAGACCTTCACCTGGTTAGTTCTGTTATATCTTAGTAAATATTTGAATCACTCAATCACCTTAATGAAGGAATAATTTTTTGCTCATTGTTTTTCTCCTTATAAAATTTTTGATGTAGTACAGGATAAACATGTTAAGTTAATTGTAGAAGACCATGATGATATTTATGCTGCAGAAATAGAGTTGTTCAGGGAGAACACACACAGGATGACCTTCACAATGGGACATCATTTCTCCACAGTACAGTACATTTAGTCATTAAGGTAAAGACTGTATTACTTTTTTGTTTATCTTTATTAGATACCATAAATCACTTGAACCATTTAGAGTGCAATTGATTCCCCTTTCTCTGTACAGTATAAGCCAATTAATCTTCCTTAAACTCGCTGAAGAGAAAGAAGTCCTCAAGCTAATATAGATTAGATTGAAAATTAAATGAGTACAGTACAGTATTGTAAAACTGGAAGATCCAAGATGAGTAGTGCCAGGCTTAATATTATAATCATAGGAATAATAGTTAGTTTTGTTTTTTTAGCTGTAAGTGTAATGTTGCAGTGAATAACTACAGCACTGCATTTCATACAAGACTTCTACTCTCATAAAAGAATAAAGAACATATTGTCTGTCAATAATCTCGCATCTAATCTCTTAATTTATCACTGACAAAGATGCTAAAGTAAAACTAGATTTGCTTTTATATCATCACTGCATGTTCAAGGTGAAGGTCAAAATTAAATATCAAAATATTTTAAGTAAATACTTTGTGTATGCTAAATTAAACTGTAACCAGTTATTTCAGTGGAAACTTGTATACTTTTATAGTATTATCTGAAGATATGTTGCTCTGTCTTGTTTGTTTCCCTAATATTCAAGACACTAGTTATGCCCTCTGATGATGCTGATATTTTATTTATAAAGTACTGCATATTCAATCTAGGTTTAATACTGTGTATCCTTTAAAAACATTACCATAACCCCCCAAAATCATGAGGATTATGTCAGCAAAAATATTTGAATTAATATTTAATGTTAATGAATATCATTTTCGTTATATTTGTTATAGCCAAAAATATTTTTACACTTGTTTTTAATATGTGATGCATATTCATGTAAATTATATATAAAGATTTGAGTATTATGGCCTGGATTTCTGTATACAAGTATGGAAACCCTACCTCCAGAAAGACCTAGCATCACTAGAAAAGGTGCAACACAGAGTGACTAAGATGATTCCAGAACTATGTCATCTCGATTATCCAAGTAGACCGAGGGCATACAAGACACAGTTAGGCAGATATCATGGAGTCATTTAAAATTGTGAAAGGGATAGAAAATGTTAACTGAGGCCTTTTTTTTTGTGATGTCACATTCCACCAGCACAAGGAAGCATAACTTCAACCTTGCAGAATGAACATAAGGAATTTCAGGTAAAGTTCTATTTACGGTATCCCAACCTACAGTAATTTGCATTAATTGTTACCGCCACAGTAGGATAAACTATAAGAGAGAGAGGGAAAGGGAGGGATAGAGAGAGAAAGGGAGACAGGAGAGTGACAGAGTGAGTGTTTACAACGAACTTTGCTGAGGTGTTAAATGTGAAACAGATGGCCCTCGCCTCGGGGACTAACTCGCTCCCTGTGAGGTTCAGAAGATAGTCTCTAGCCGTCCAGTGAGCTAACAACTCGGGGAGCTAATAAGTCTTACATTAGACCCGAAACACGTTTTGACTGAATAAAGAACAATCGAGTCCTACGTGCAAGGGTCTCATTATCCCACAGTCGCTCATCGGGCGGTTACATTAATGATGCTGGTATATTAAGACCACTCCCCAATTTTCGATGTAAATAAACTCGCATTAACAAAATTCGTCATCCCACCAAGTCAGTATAGGGAACGCATCACTCATTCCTTTTGTCAGCTGAGGCACCATCTACCCGAGCGCTACCTCGTGGCCATCTGGTGAGCTACAGTCCAGCCATTGTTTCTTCTTGGTTACATGTGTGTAAGAAATGAAGCTCAATGTTTATCGGTCATTATCATTGTTTTTGTTTGTTTTTTACATTACAGTGAGAGGACATCATTAAAATTCACATTGTACTGTTTTAGTGGCCGTGAAGTGCTTTTGCTCTCATCCCCCACCACAACAATGGGTGACCTGACATTGAATCAGAAGGTCAGTAATATGAGACCATTCATCCTCCCACCCCAACTCCACCGCAAATGAGAGAAGAGTTTATATTATACAATGGGTGGACCTGACATTGCATCAGGTCAGGTCACTAACATCAGACCCACTAATCCCCAACCACACCATTGCAAGTGTTAAATGATATAAAAAGTTATTACAGATACGTATTACGTTCAGGAGACTGGACAGTATACTCCTACTGTATGCTTAAAATGACAGTAGTAATACAGCTCCTTCCCGACTTATGACGGGGTTAGGGACCCAAATCCAGGTCATAAGTCGAAATGGTCATAAGTCGGAAATGCTTAAATAATACATAGAAAATCTAAAATGGGTGTCTCTCTTTCTTCTTAGCACCACAAAACACTAATTTTTAAGCTTGCCAGCCATTTTAAAGTGAATTACAAAAAAAAAAATTTGTCTGTGTACTGACTTTGGGACTCGAAAATACGTAATTTGACCAAATTTTGGTACTACTGAGGCAGGTCGTAAGTCGGGGAGGAGCTGTATATGGGTATACTCTGCAAACCGATGTCCCATTAACCGACGATTACACATAGGGGAAATACTCCGCAAGATTTGACAATTTGGGAAGGAGCGGCAGAGCTGTTTCGAATTTGGCGGGCAGTGGTGTGGTGCGAATTCTTGCCACGAGAGGGCCCTGCAATCTGACTCCGACTCATTCCCACCTCTCTGCACTTGTTTACTCTTACCATGTGCCTCTGACTTCGTGTTTTTTAATTGTTTCTGACTTTGTGTGTTAAGCAATCATGGCTAAGTGCCCAAGTAATAGTTCCTCTTGTGCTGCCCTTCTTAAGGGCAGCTTGATTTGATGTGATAAGGCATAATAAGAGTGGTGATGGACCAGCTAAGAGTGGTGGAGGCTTGAACTTGCCACCCTAGACTGTCTAAATACCATCCTCAACACAAGTAAATAACAGGATTAATTTATGCTTTACATTCCTTTTTTAATGTTTATTATGCTTGTTTTATTTGTCTGCTTTATTTTCTTGCTTGGCAGTGTGCATCACAGAGATACATCAAGGGTAGATGTGAGTTTTTGGAGTGTGGCCGGTGCCTAACTCCCTGAATTTGTTATACAGTATTCTCATGGGATTAAATGCTTCAATAACAGTTGATTCACTAACCAACGACTTTTCACGGTCCCTATATATGTCGGATATCGGGTGTGCCTGTACATTTTATTTATTTATAATACGTTGTATGTGTACATTGGTGTTTGCACAAATAAATACAGCACTTGTATCTGTCCGTATGAGATGCGTCACGTAGACTCGGGAAAACAGTGGAAAATTCCACTGACACACTGCTCCATTCATAAGGCACCTTGATTGACTGTATCATCGATTTTTTTTTTTAATATATTTATTAAACGAAACTTATAGATCAATTATTCAGGATTATTTTAGTAAAAAATTGGCGTTTCTAACTTAATTAGAGCTGATTTTATAGACTCCGGTACAGTGAGTTCTGCTATAACGCGTGTTTTGATAACGCGAATTTGCTCTAACGCGATTTATGAATTCGGAACAATATTTGTATAACGCGATCGCTTGTTTGCTATAACGCGATTTTTGCTTACTATTTCTCCAATTTTGTGGTATTAACTGTGAATATGGTAAAGAAGAATATCTCCAAAAAGCATTCTGATGATAGAATTCCCGGTGATTATCGTAAAAGAAAGGATATAACACTTGAAGAGAAGCTTGATGTTATCAACCTCAAAATCACCCTTCTCCCCCATCAAGTTACATTCATATTTTTTCAAGGTAAAGTGTTAAATTTACTGTATGATTTCATTATTAGATATGAATGTAACATTTATTTAGACTGTGCTATCCTTTGTGTTAGGCTAACTACTAAATTTTTTCGATTTCGAGTAATCTGCACCTAACCCTATTTTCTCCATAAGCCCTGTTATTTCTATTACGCGATTTTCTATAACACGATATTTTACAAGAACACAATTATCGCGTTATAGCAGAACTACCTGTACTGTATTATCATTTCTTACGTTTTTTCATAAAAGAATTGTCTCCATCATTAAATCATGTAGAAATGTTTTGTATGAGGATCATTTATTGAAACAGTCTTGTAGAGAATTTATTCAGGATCATTATGGTACAGTAGAACGTCGATGTAACACGAGATACGTTCCAAGAGAGCGCTTTAAATTGAATAATTGAATTCCCACTAAATCGATGTGTTGTGTCAATGGAATAATTTAGTTTGATAA